TTAAGAGTTAAATAAATCATTCATAGTCTCGATATAGAACCCTGAGGCCAAACTATATTTTTATATTATTCTATAAGAATTAAAAATAAAAAAATGCTAAAACTTCTATATATATAATTATACCACATAAAATGAATTTTATAGCTGAATTAGACATTTCTACAAAACACTTGCTAGTTATAACAAATATTAATCATTAACTAGCAAAAATCTTGTTAGCAGTCTAACAATTTAGAAGGATTTTGAGGTCTTCTAATAAAACAGCAAAGCAAAGTGTGCGGTGAGGCCTTTTTATTTATTTGGTAAGTTTAGCTGTAGTAAGCAAATCGATACAAATCTTTTATTATTAACTTTATCATAGCATTTTTCAAAAATAGTCTACAGCTCCGCATTTTGCCACAAAGTAGAAAATCCGTGCATGGGTAAATAGTAAAATTTTAAAAGCAATGTCAGAAAAAGATGAAAAATGATTTTTACTGCATATAGTGTTGTTTTTAAGCAGTTTTATTTCCAGGGATAATTTAATTTTTATTACAAATAAAGGGAAATAAAAGGAAGGGAATTAATGTTATGTGTTATCTCTTTATCTTCATAAAATCCCTTTAAAGGTGGCTCGAGGAGTTAAGTAACTTGTTCAAGGTCATAAGACCAGCCACTGGAAGAGTGAAGCACTTGGTTTTGAACTTTTGTCTGTCTGACCATAAATCCTGAGTGTGTGAAGTTGTACTTCCCATGTGTTTCTGTCTTATTCACACAGAAGCTCAACAGAATATGAAATTTACAGAGTTCTCATGTGCAATTAGTGACTTTGTTTACCTTATTCTTTTCTTCTATTTTATCCTGTAATAGATTTATCCCTGCAGAGTTCACCAACTCCTCCCCTCTGTAGTAAAAAATTACCATAAAAATGAATAGAATCTCTTTAGTTTTTCATGTACATATTTTGAACCTATATTATAAACAACTGCAAAGATTTCCCTGTATATTTCAGATGCTTAAATTAGGCGGAAACAAAAGAAAAAAGGATAAAACTTTTTAAAAAAATTTTTGGGTAATTTGCAGTGAAAGATGTTAGAATGAGCCCAATACTTAAAAAGTGTCCTGCAAATTGTAATTTTAGTAAAAGCAGACTGCTGTGTAATCATTGATGGCATTTACAGAAATAGATAACGCTCTGGCGAGCAGCGAGTGAACAATGGGTGCACAAAACGGAACTGCCAAAGGAAAGGGGGAGGGGAAATGAAACTTTAATTTTCAATTACGGAAGTTTTGGAGCTCAGAGAAATTATTAAACAAAGGCCCACTTGTTAGTCTGTTCCCATGAGACCATCCTCCATAATTCAGGAATAATGAATGCGGACGAGAGAAAATTGCTGCCGTTCATGGAGGCCACTGTGCAGAAGGGAACGTTTAGGCTGCTGCGGAAATGTGGAATTTGAGGTGCCATTAGGTCAGAGCTCGGTCATTTGACCTCAGCTGCCTTCCTTAGCCAGTAGCTGCAAGATTACCAGCGTAATTGCAATTAACTAATTGTGTGCATGTTTATTTCTTGAATGCCTATCTTTCCTGCTTGAATATCAACTCCATGAAGGCATGTGTCTCTCTTGTTCCCTCACTGTCCTTGGCATGTAGCAAGCACTCAACCTCTCCCTTTTCATGTTTATTGTAGTCTAGTGAGTCTGGGCTTTGTGGTAGTTTGGAACTAAGCTGAGATCTTGGCTCTTCTACAATAAGCTGTTTCAACCTTGGGCAGGTCATTCAATTTCTAGGGACCCAGTTTCCTTACCTGTGCAATGGGACTATAATAGAACTTACCCCATATGGTTGCTGTACGGATTAATGACTTAGCACAGAGCAGAGCACTTGGTTCTCCACAAAAGCAGATCTTATTAGCTTTCCCTTGTGTAGTGGAAGTTGGGTTGCTCATGTGCTTTTAANGATATAGAACCCTGAGGCCAAACTATATTTTTATATTATTCTATAAGAATTAAAAATAAAAAAATGCTAAAACTTCTATATATATAATTATACCACATAAAATGAATTTTATAGCTGAATTAGACATTTCTACAAAACACTTGCTAGTTATAACAAATATTAATCATTAACTAGCAAAAATCTTGTTAGCAGTCTAACAATTTAGAAGGATTTTGAGGTCTTCTAATAAAACAGCAAAGCAAAGTGTGCGGTGAGGCCTTTTTATTTATTTGGTAAGTTTAGCTGTAGTAAGCAAATCGATACAAATCTTTTATTATTAACTTTATCATAGCATTTTTCAAAAATAGTCTACAGCTCCGCATTTTGCCACAAAGTAGAAAATCCGTGCATGGGTAAATAGTAAAATTTTAAAAGCAATGTCAGAAAAAGATGAAAAATGATTTTTACTGCATATAGTGTTGTTTTTAAGCAGTTTTATTTCCAGGGATAATTTAATTTTTATTACAAATAAAGGGAAATAAAAGGAAGGGAATTAATGTTATGTGTTATCTCTTTATCTTCATAAAATCCCTTTAAAGGTGGCTCGAGGAGTTAAGTAACTTGTTCAAGGTCATAAGACCAGCCACTGGAAGAGTGAAGCACTTGGTTTTGAACTTTTGTCTGTCTGACCATAAATCCTGAGTGTGTGAAGTTGTACTTCCCATGTGTTTCTGTCTTATTCACACAGAAGCTCAACAGAATATGAAATTTACAGAGTTCTCATGTGCAATTAGTGACTTTGTTTACCTTATTCTTTTCTTCTATTTTATCCTGTAATAGATTTATCCCTGCAGAGTTCACCAACTCCTCCCCTCTGTAGTAAAAAATTACCATAAAAATGAATAGAATCTCTTTAGTTTTTCATGTACATATTTTGAACCTATATTATAAACAACTGCAAAGATTTCCCTGTATATTTCAGATGCTTAAATTAGGCGGAAACAAAAGAAAAAAGGATAAAACTTTTTAAAAAAATTTTTGGGTAATTTGCAGTGAAAGATGTTAGAATGAGCCCAATACTTAAAAAGTGTCCTGCAAATTGTAATTTTAGTAAAAGCAGACTGCTGTGTAATCATTGATGGCATTTACAGAAATAGATAACGCTCTGGCGAGCAGCGAGTGAACAATGGGTGCACAAAACGGAACTGCCAAAGGAAAGGGGGAGGGGAAATGAAACTTTAATTTTCAATTACGGAAGTTTTGGAGCTCAGAGAAATTATTAAACAAAGGCCCACTTGTTAGTCTGTTCCCATGAGACCATCCTCCATAATTCAGGAATAATGAATGCGGACGAGAGAAAATTGCTGCCGTTCATGGAGGCCACTGTGCAGAAGGGAACGTTTAGGCTGCTGCGGAAATGTGGAATTTGAGGTGCCATTAGGTCAGAGCTCGGTCATTTGACCTCAGCTGCCTTCCTTAGCCAGTAGCTGCAAGATTACCAGCGTAATTGCAATTAACTAATTGTGTGCATGTTTATTTCTTGAATGCCTATCTTTCCTGCTTGAATATCAACTCCATGAAGGCATGTGTCTCTCTTGTTCCCTCACTGTCCTTGGCATGTAGCAAGCACTCAACCTCTCCCTTTTCATGTTTATTGTAGTCTAGTGAGTCTGGGCTTTGTGGTAGTTTGGAACTAAGCTGAGATCTTGGCTCTTCTACAATAAGCTGTTTCAACCTTGGGCAGGTCATTCAATTTCTAGGGACCCAGTTTCCTTACCTGTGCAATGGGACTATAATAGAACTTACCCCATATAGTTGCTGTACAGATTAATGACTTAGCACAGAGCAGGGCACTTAGATGGTTCTCCATAATTTCTAGGGACCCAGTTTCCTTACCTGTGCAATGGGACTATAATAGAACTTACCCCATATGGTTGCTGTACGGATTAATGACTTAGCACAGAGCAGAGCACTTGGTTCTCCACAAAAGCAGATCTTATTAGCTTTCCCTTGTGTAGTGGAAGTTGGGTTGCTCATGTGCTTTTAAACTTGAGCATGCATTCAGATACCTGGGCAAGCTGGCTGCAATGTGGATTTCTGCACCCTGTCACCAGTCACCAGATTCTGATTTGCTAGAGCTGCATCCAGACCCAGAAATTTGCATTTTTAACAGGCATCTGGGAGTAATTCTGATGCATTGAGTCTTTGGACCACCCCTGGAGAAACACTGCTCTGGAAAGAGAATCATCAATTCCCACGTTTCTGAGAGATGGGCAAACTAACAGGGGTCACATACTATACGTGATACTTGGGGGTGGAAAATGAAAGTAAAAAAACTAGCATCTTCAGAGGAAGAATATATAAATGAAATACATTTCTTTAAAATTCTGGCATGAAGAACCAGCAAAATTTCTTCCACTCTTACCAGTGACAGCTCCCATGCCTAGTCCCTGCCTCCTCACTTCTTTCCAAACTGTCCCCTTAATAACTGGGATAGGAAAGGGCCCTTATTTGCTTGCGGGGAGGACTCTCAATGTTTCCCAGAGATATGGAGTTCAGCAAACACAAGCCAAATAGTTGTGAAGGGGAGAAGGATAAATCAGTGTTCTTCATGATTATTTTTATGCTGAGGGGCTGGTGTCTTTAAAATCCATTTAAATTTATTTCTCTCAAGTTTTAGATCATATTATTGAGATGTAAAGTTCAGAGACTAAGAGAAGGTGTAAAAGCGCTTCCTTTTTTTCCAAGTAAAACTTTCTAACAGAAAAGTGCTGTGGATGAATAACCTACGTGCAAATACTCCTTCTCACTATCTTGTCCTGGCCCAAGGTGTTAACACAGCTCTAGACTTTCGGAACTCTAGTTCCTACCCCTGTGCCCTGCTTTTATTTGCTAATAAGTCAGGTGCTCTTAAGGGCACATTAACTCATAGGTCAACTTAAAAGGCTAGCTTCCAGTTAGATACCGAAGGCCTGCTGGAAACTAGCCTTTAAGATAAATTTTTTAAAAAAAGAAAAAAATAATCCATATTCACTCATCAGTGCTTGGAACTCAGGGTGCCCCGAAGTCAGAGTTCCACTTACCAGCAGGTTCTCGGGCTTGATGTCGCGGTGGACGATGTTCAGGCTGTGGAGGTATTTGATGGCACTGGCCAGGTTGTACAGCATCCCACTGGCATCTCGCTCGGTGTATTTGTTGGTGGAAGTAATGGCATCAAAAAGGTCTCCGCCCTGAGAAGAGAACAGCAGGTGGAGCAGCACATTAATAGACAGGTCAGGCGGGACCCTGCGGAGGTGACCAACAAACGACAAGGAAATGAAGAATGGACACAGGATCTCTGGGGTCCCAAGGGCTTTCCCTGCTGTTTCCCTCTCAAAGACCCATAAGACTTTATGGTGATTTCTCTCCTTACTGTGAAAACCAGCAACGTTTCCTCTAGAGCTCAAAAAACAAAAGGAGCCAGGTGAGGACTCTTCATCCCCAGACCCATGGCCACTTGCACAGCCCCCAGCCAGGAAGGAGGAAGTGTGGCTGGGTCTCCAGGGCAGAGGCCTCGTGCCACGTGGGTGTCCTGCTGGCACAT